ACAAAACAAAGCAAAACAAAACAAAACAACAACAACAAAACAAAAACAAAACCAAAAAAAGTCAAAAATCCCAACTACACTTTGTGACTAAGATTTGTTTTCTCGCTATCTTTTTTATTTGAAGTGTTAATAAATTTGTTTCTAATATAGAGAGTTTGGATGGACTTATTTTTTCTTTCATTTTGAAGGTATTAACAGAGCAGTAAGAAATGAGAAAGTGGGCACATGAACATCTGACCATGAAACAAAACCATGGTCCGATGAATAGGGCTTGATGAGCATCATTTCTGCAGGGAAGGCATGGAGCAATTATTGTAATGAGGCACTCTATTGAATGGCTCCCACATAACACACAGCAATTGGAAATAAGCAATTACTTAAAATTACATAGGTGGAAGGTGGTGCCTCATTTGACTAGATTTGAATTTATCATGCACCCATGAGCTGCAAATTAATATTGGAATGAGTGTGACAGATCATGTGTACAGCAAGAGGTTTCTCTAAAGTAAACTTTTTATGGAGTTGACATTATGCTGGGAAAGAAAGAATTCTGAAAGGTGACTGATGTAGGTGGCAGGAAGACTAAAATAGTCATGTCACAATGCATATAAAGGTGAATTCCATTATTATGTCACATTATGAAGCTTTGAAATCTGTCTTAGAATGTGGAGGGGAACTTTAAGTGATGGGTCAGGAGGATTCTGCATGGGACTGTGCTAGGTTCTCTGCATATATGTTATGGCTGTGTAGCCTGTGGGACTCCTAACACTGGGAGTGTGTGTGTGTGTGTGTGTGTGTGTGTGTGTGTGTGTGTGTTTGACTTTTTCACATGATCTTGAGACCATTTTCTTCCTACTGGATTTCATTGTCCAGTCTTGAAATGAGGGTTTGTGCCTAGTCTTATTGTAGCTTGTAATGCCGTGTTGGGTTGATATCCTTGGGAGGCCTGCTCATTTATAAAGGGAAATGAAGGAGTGAGTCTCGGGGAGAGGGGAGGTGGGAGGGAATGGGAGGAGTGGAAGGAAGGGAAACTGTGGTTGGGATGTAATGTATGAGAGAAGAATAAATAAATAGAGATTTGATATTTGTTGTTTCCATATTATAATTATGAATCTTTATAAACACCATTTTATAAAGGCATAAAAATTAAAACATCTAAGGGGGGGAGGTACACTCTGTCCTGGGACTCTAGGAAGTCCCATGTAAGTTGATTCCTACTTTATGTGAAACTTCATTTTCTGCGAGTTTCACATAAGCTGTAAAAGATGAAGATGGTAGATTCTACATCTATGTACATTCCGTGTGCATAGCTGCTGTCTGAAATGCATTTTAAGAATCAATTAACATTACACTAAAAGATTACTTTTAATCTCTAAGCCTATTTTCATTTTTGTTTTTCTTATGTAATTAATCTATCAAATAACTGTAAATAAGGTAACTGTTATGAAGGACTGCTTATTTGGAAGTGGGTCATATTACCAGACGTATGTATCATTTTCATAGCTGGGAACCAAATGACTGGAAAGTTAATTGATTTGAATTTTATGACAGTGCTTCCATCACTCAAGCAATGGCTGAGGATCACCACAGATTTGGCAAAATCAACACTTAGCACCCTAGCTACAGCTACATAACAGTGACTTGCAATGCAGAGCATGAGACACCTTGATCCACTGAAAACAAGTAAAAATGATTGAAGCATGGTGTTAGCTAGTAAACCACAAATATATACTAGGGGCTGGAAGATGGCATAGCAGTGAAAACACTGGTATCTCTTCCAGAAGACCCAGGTTCAATCTCCTGCACCCTCATGGCAGCTCATAACTACCCGTAATTCTATTTAGTCCCAGAGGATCCAACTCCCTCTTCTAGCCTCCATGAGCACAAACATGAATGTGGACCACAGGCTTGTATGTGGATAAAACAACCATACACAAAAATAAAAGCAAAACAAGAAACAAATATATGCTAGGAAGTTTTGAACTACAGATGTAAAGACAAAATGACTCTTTATATCTCATATAAACAGATGGAGATTGGAGAGACAGATGAGTGACTTTGATTCTAGCCATCGATTTGTTTGGGAATTTAAATCCAGAGTCTAAACAGCACTGGGATCCTAGATTTCAATCATGCATTTGAACTTCACATGCAAATAACAAGAACACGACCACGAGCAACAACTGTGACACAGGAAGTGTGGTCTAACAATTACTGAAAGATAAGATCTGTAAGTGGAACTATACCCCAAAGAGAAAAAATAGATCGATGACAGCCTACTACATATTTTAGCAGCAGCTTTAGTTCCTTGATGCCTATTTTAGAGATTAGAATGTCTAGCCTGCATTAGCTACCAAAGACTTTCTTTGAGAATTTCACACATGACAATGCATTTTGATCATATCCATTCTTCACTTCCTGCTCTAACTCCTCAGGGTCTCCCTGTTCTCTCAGCTTTATGTGCCTTTTTCTCTCTTTAATTTTTTCTTAAAACATATATAAGGCACTGAGTTCATGTAGTGTTTTCCATTTACTCATGGTATGGTGCTGCCCACTGGTGCATGGGTGACCTACCAGGGGGTTTATTTCAGAGGAAAACTAACTCTCCAAGTAGGGGACAACTGCCTATAGCTCCTTTTTGCCCCTCCAAGAAACATAAACAGATTTTATCTAACACCCAAGTAAAAAAAAATACAGTCTTGCAAGAATATTGGTTAGGAATTTCTTCTCTTACTAGTTGACCTTACACCACATTCCCACTGTTGTAGTTTAGTGGTGGTGGCTTCCTCCAGAACACTCTTGGCCTATAATGGTCCTCAAAACATAACTATTGAACAGAAGAATGTGCACCCAAACACAGCCACCTTTTACTTTGAGGTCAACAACTTGGAAAGTTGAATAAAAATGAGAAAAATTGCTGGTCGGTAATGGTGCATGCCTTTAATCCCAGCACTTAGGAGGAAGAGGCAGGTGGATCTCTGTGAGTTGGAGACCAGCCTGGTCTTCAGAGTGAGTTCTGGGACAGGCTCCAAAGCTCGCTGTATATCTTTTTGTTTTCATTACATTATTATGACTAACAGGTTGGTTAGTTACCTACAGAGGCAGTTTTAAGCTATCAGATACCTGCATAAAATTTTTGCATTTGGTGTTGTGAATACCAACCCTTACAGTTCCTCCTAGACCACCCTGCCTGCTGTCCTTAAGATACAGCACATGGATGTGTGTTATCAAACTGTTATCTCTCCCTCTTCTCCTGGAGATACATCTTTAAATAGTTCTTTTAGAGATGCCAAGTTATTATTTGGAAGAATTGTTTCAGAAGATCAACGTCCCTAAAGACCAAAGCAGCTTGTTCCCCACCCCTTCTGCCTTAATTTATTAATTTTTGAGTGTGTAAGTGTTCGCTCTGGAAATTATAGATCAGGTTGAGTAACTTGCTACATACAGAGTTACTTGACAGTCTATAATCATACAGAAAATTGCCAGAATGTTGCAACAAGGCTTTGTGAAGAGGAAATCTTCCAGAAGCCTTTAATTCACTCCAAGAGAATGTAAGATATAGAGTAGGCAATGTAGGTAGTTTTCTGTAGGGCTGTATCTGCCAAAGGTCCCTTTCTATGCTTTTCATCTGTGCTGGAAGGCAGACTCAAAAGATTGATCCAGTCTAGTGCACGCCTGGTGTCCACAGAGGCCAAAAGAAGGCATCAGAACTAGAATTCCAGATAGTTTGAGCCATAGTGTGGGTACTGGGAACTGAAATGGGGTCCTCTGCAAGAGAAACACATGCGCTAAAAGACCATCTCCCTAGCTCCTGGTCCCATAATAGCTTTTACTTTAAGCTGTTTGTCTTTCTCCATAGTGTTGTCAGCTTCTCAAGTTCATATCTTGCTTTCTTCTGAATTCTGTAGAGAAGTCCAGTCCACCTCTGGTTTATAGCCAAGTTTGGTAATATAATGAGGTGATTCTAAGACACCAAGACAATGCCTATATGCTTTCCAGTATGCAAAATGAGACTTCAGACTCCTTGTGTCTTTCCTTTGTCCACTTGGCTCTTTACCTGTTTATGGTGGTGACTAGGAAGTATAAATACCACAAACTCTCAGTTCAAACAAACAAACTAAAGAACAAACCAAAAGATGTTCAATGTACCATACACATGTATGATTTTTCAATACATAAGTAAAAGCTCTGAATGGTATTATATGAAGTCAAATTTGTGACCAGGAAGGCCAAACTGGGGTGGGGTGGGGGCAGAAAACATTACTGCATGGAACAAAAGTAGAGACAATAAATGAGAGTCAAAAATGCAGTCCTGAAATGGATATTTCATCCTTGAACAAGTCATAGGTTAAAATATCCCTGTGCAGGTGTCTTGTTTTACAAACTGCCCCTCCCCAGTTTGGGTAATTCTGGTGAGAAAAGACAGAGAAAGTACATACTGGTTAAGTTTCTGAATCCCAAGAATGTAGATAACATCTCAAGGCTTCTCCAGAGATAATGAAGTTCACCCAGCCTGACACAAACCTAATTATTTTCTGACAAAAATAAATGAAAAGGAAGATATTGGCATCAGAGTTTTTCTACAATCCTTGGTTCTGTAAGAATGAGGAAATCTGTAGATGATGAAGAGAAAATAGATGGTGAAAATTCTTTAGAAGAGACACTGCGAAGGCAATAGTCACTGTCATAATCTAGACTAGGACAAGATGACTAAGCCACAGGAGACAATGCACTCAGCTCTGTGGGGATGAACAGGAGACTGTGAGCATGAGAGGATGCTGGCATTCCATTTCTAAATATAATGGAAATGTGCATTGCATCACAAACAATAGATATGTATATGAGTATATACACAAATATCCGTTCACTATTTGCAAATAAAACCATTTTCTTCTTAATTCTCTCGAGACTTAGGAATCTAGAATCTTAAAAAGTTGTCCTATGTTTTTCTCTAATGTATGTTTTCGAGAAATTTGGTAACGGAGACAGTGGGTTCTTACTTTTTGATCAATGTACTTGTTGTCTTCGACTGTGGGCCGCTTGGGGTTATCACATGATGAGGAAGAGGTGGAAGGGAGGATTCTGAAAAGACAGCAGGTGTCCTGTTGCTGGCGGTCAATGAACTGCTTCATGAAGCTTTCCCTTTGTAAATGAAGTACACACATCAGGCATTTTTCAGAAAATGGAGCCAGAGGCGGCATTTCACAGAGACCATGAAGCAGCTCAGATCACAAAAAACAAGATGTGTCATACCAAGGAGGTGGTTAGATTTAATTATCAAATATTTAACTTAGAGAAAGCCTCCTGAATCCTTGCAAACTCCTGCTTAAAAGCATAATGTCCCTGAAATATCTTAAAAGCAAGGGTATCCAATAATTGATGGTGTGCTTTGAATCCTAGTATGGTAATGAGATACTTTATCTTTCCCCTAAGACTTGAAAGAATTAATTCATCTTTCCAAACTTTTATTCATGATAAAGTCCTTGAGAGATAATTTTACATTGAAAGACTCAAAAGGAAAAGACTTCATCTGATCTCCAAAACACAGTGAAAAAATTAAATGACATCAATGCAAGTAAGCAAAGTCAATTAACTTTAAAAAGATTAGAAATACCCAATATGCCATGTACTACATAGAGACACTTTGGTCACCAATAGGCTGCATGCAAATGGTAGTCCCATAAGATGGTGTAACACACAGTGGTGTGATTACTGCGTCTTCTGATGTTGACAGAATGGTGAAATCATCTAAAGAACCATTGCTCAGAACGTACGCTAGTCATTAAGTGACCGGATGGTCTTTTTCTATTTTAATTGAAAGTGTTTGGCACTGTAGCTCATTTCATACTTTCATTTTCAGATATTTAAAGATAAATAAATAGAAAAGTTTATATAATTTTAATTGTATGGGAGATTTTGGCACTATCCATCAGAAGACTAGCCTTTAATTATTAAAAGCGGGGATCTCAAAGCCCCATCAGTATGCATTTGTCTAGTAGGAAGGTGAAGCCGGTACAGACTGAATCAGTATAGGTATAAATTCTATGCTTCTTTTAACCTGTAGGAGGCAGATTACACTGTGACCAGACCGCCATATACCGGAAGTCTGCTGCCACACAGACACCTCTCAGAACTGAGTGCCAAATGAAGACAAAGTATTTGGACTTCAGTGAACCCTTTCAGCAACGACCATGCTGTCTATACCTGGGATGTATGATCCCTTAGGAGTCCCTAGAGGGAGGCAAGGACGTAAGTTTGTGCCTCACCTCCCTCTCCTCTTAAGAGATTGCTCACAGGACTCAGGATTCCCATGACAAAGGCAAGAAGGAGAGCAGGAGACAACAGATCAAATACAATCGCAAACCCACCCGCATACCAGTCTGTAAGAAGGGCTGAGGCAGATTTACGATGATAAGCCGTGTAGCGGCCATCAAAAGAAACAGTTTGATACCTGATCTTAGGAACTGTAAAATCTGAAGGAAGTTTTGAGATTTTCACCATTTGAGGTCTGTTTGGGAATTTTTCAAAGATTCTCAAGCGCAAAGGGAGTTTTTCTTTCGTGTCCGCATTTGCTTCGCTTTGCTTTAACTAGAAAGGGGAGAGGGAGGAGAGAGAGAAAAGAAAATCACACTGAAATGAACAGTTCAGGCTTCAGAGAATAACGTGTAATTGCATATACAGCCGGTAGATGGAAGCAAAGGCCCATCAACATGTTATACAATAGCACCCCTCCCCCCACCCCCTCGCATTGTTCTAAGTGTTAGGGAAAGAATAAAAGTTAACAGCAAATTAAACCAGTTCTTTAAAAAAAAAAAATTGAGAAGAAGGCTTTGTTATTGTGCTCCCAAAGATAAATTTCCTTTCATCCCATACATTATCTTTTGCTTTTTAATTATGATTAAACATTCAAATTTATTTTATACACAGACATGGTAGAAGTAACAGGAACTTGCAAGTGAGCTAAAGTTTACACAGAGCCAATGTAGAACTACAAATAAATTTTTGGCTAGAATTCAATCCATGCTTTCTTATCCTTTCCCTTCCTCTTTCTAAGATTAGTTTTTCTTCTGAATTCTCTTCACTTCTCTTTGTCTCTTAAAAGAACCACTCTGTGGATTGCAGGTAACTCTCAATATCTTCCCTGTTTTCTATCCCTCTCCAAATTGTAATATTGGTCCTACTAATTCTCAAATGGGCTAAGAGGGCATCAGTCTCCTCCTCCCACACACACTTTGTGAAATGTCCTTTTTCCTTTAAAATGACAAAGTCTTGAACAGGACTATGAAAATCAACAGCAGAACTCGAGAGAGCTTTGATAAACAGAAGAGATGAGCAAGGTACCTCTCACTCAGACATCGAGATGTAAATTGGTCAGAAGGAACAGAAATGCTGCCTTTAGAGACTAGACCTCAATTCCAATGGTAGATGACTTGGCTTCCACATAATCTGGAGTGAATAACAGGGTCGTGGGTCCTCGTTTCTAGTTTTCTCATCTTTCACTGTATATGATTATTTCACTTTGTAAAATATGCTTGAATTACCTTAGCTATGCAGACACCTACTTGATTTGGTGAGTAGGTTTTGATCTTAGGTGGCAATCTTACTCAGGGAGGGAGCCACTGTTGTTCACTACCCCTCAGTATGGCAGAGGACATGGATATAATACAATAGTTTTTAATGATGATGATGAAGATCGTAAAGCGACAGTACCCAGGGCCACCAAAATAAAAAGCACAGGCATCTCCATGTCATGAGAGCAACCAGAAAAAAAAAAAAGACTCTGTACATGAATGAAGGCTTATGAAAAAGTAGCAGGTTTCTAAATGATCGCTGATAAGCAACTTGTGAAAAATTTGCCAGTGGTCAGTCAGATCAACAAAGAAAGGAAAAGCTGCCGGCTTATTAAGGCAGACCAGACAGCAAGGCAGCCAGTGATTGTGTGCCAAAGGCTGACAAGACTGATGGCACAGAGAGGTGCTTGCTCAATTACGTTCGCTGACTCATTTGTTTAGATTCTTGTGCTGTCACTTTCAGAACTCATCCCATGAGCCTGTGAAAAATACCGGGGCTATGAAAGTAAAAGGGTGTCTGCCCTTTCCTTCACCCAGCCCATATCACAACAATCAACAACTATCCTTAAAGGATAATGGTTACCATGGAAGAGATATGACCAGAGTGCTTGGGAACACAAGGCAAGAGTGAAGAGAGAAATAAGAAAAATTAGTCGAGGTATTATTTCCCCAGCTCTGATAGACATTTTAGACAGCAGGAGGGTCTAACCTGCAGACACTGCGTTGTATATTATATTAGTATGAGACACGAGGACAAAGGTTACGCTGGTCAGAACTTCTCACCAAAATGAAAATTCTGAGATCTCCCTAAGACCCTCTCCATCTGTTGACCCCTTCTGTCCTCATCAGAATCTCCGTGACTGGGCTTTTACAAGCCCTGCCATGGTTTTTTACTCATAAGTTAGTCCCTTATCTATTTCTCCATTCCATGGTTATAGAAATCTCAATTTTTATCTTAAAACCTTCCTGCTTTTACTCCTATACTTTTTAAAACTAAAATTATCAAAACTTTCCATTTAGACTCTTATTTCCTTGCTATACTTCTAGAATGCACAGTGCCTCATTCCTGCCAGGCCTCTGCTAGGCCCTTCTCTTCCTCTTTCATTTTTGAACTTCATGAACTTATACTTGATTTTGGGATTTAGTTCCTCATGTAGTTCTTCAGAGAATCTTTCTCTGACCACCATAGTCTACCCCTTAGGAGCTCATAACACATAGGGCTGGGCCACACATTGAAGTTCGCATGGGTCAAAACAGTGAGAAATCTTCAGGTTCAATCTAACACACATTTTTAGCATTTTCTAGGCTGCTGTAGCAGTTATCAAAAAGACTTGTACTTCCATAAATCAGAAGCTACCAACTCCTCCAATTAGTTAATTTCCCAACCAAGGCTTCCCCTGAGCCCTGCTTCCTCTGAGGGCTCCGGAAAGCTCACCCTTACTACTTCCTAACTTTCTATGATTCTCTGTAGGCTTCTGGCTCATTCCTCTTCCTCGTTTCCAGTGCCACATTTCTTCTTCCTAAGGCTTTTCCCTGAATCTCCCTCCTTTTTCCCTAGTAAGGAATATAAACATCAGATTCAGGGGCTCACTCACATCCAGAATGATTAACTGTTTACTTCTGCAAAGGTCCAATTTCCAAGCGAAGTCTCATTCTGAAGCTCTGTATGTTTTGGGAGTTGCTTAAACCCATGATACAGGTCATCATTTCAAATTATTTCATCTCATGTAAGCCATGGTCCCTCTTTTCCTGAGAGTATGAGGCCTAGAAGGCTGGGAAGCTGGTGGAGTTTCTTTCCTCACATTCAGTGGTTAACATGAAGTCGGCTAAGAGAACAGTCACTGAATAAATGGCACTGAGTGAGTGACAGAGAGAACCCATCATAGATAATTTAGAAACAAACAAACAAAAAGCCTGGTAGGCCAGACAGAGATGCAGATGGTATCTATTTGTTAATTGGACAACTTAACTGTTCTGATGTAGTGTGTAGGAACTCTCCATTTGCTGAATGGAATAAAGTTAGTCTCTTGTGGCATTTAACTGGTTGTGATGTTTGCCACTGACAAGCTGATAAATGCTTAGACCATGTTTAGACTGACATATGTTTTGTCAGTGGCATGATGGGAAAATGTCAAATTATAGCTATCCATGCCCTAGGACACAGTGATCAATACAGTAGGCTTATAATATTTTTAAAAAATCTTGCTTCTGTGTTTTGAAAATGGATCTTGTGGAATTCTAATTTGCATTAGGGATATTAATATTCCCAAGAGCCTTTAAGTTCCTTAGGGGCTAGATTTCACTTTTAAATTCCCATTCATAGCACCCCCCTGAGAGTGAAAATAGAATATGGTTGGAAACAAATTAAAGCTCAACAGGAACTGGTCACTGAGCTACAAAACTACAAAGAGCAACAGCAAAGCTCTGGTGAATGACTCAGGACATTCTCCGTGGTCTTGCAAATCTTCCTCTCAGGAGATAAGAGCAAGGGGATTGGGTGCTTGCACAGGTGCCGTGAATTTTGCCTCGTATGAGCAGGAACAGCCCCTTTCCAAACCAAAAGTCCCCTGAGCTCCTTCTTTTTCTATACACTCCCATGGTTCTGTTCTGGCAAGAGTGTGTATACCACAGCCATGCCCTCATGTCTGTGACAATGATACCTGTGAGTCCTGACTGCAAACCACCCAAATGCCCCGTAATAGAACAGAAAAATAAACCCTGATGTATTTAAACATTTGAATGCATAAGATACAGCCTAATATAAATGGTAGTTAAATTTTATAGTGCAGTATTGAGGGTAGGAAGCCAGACATAACAAAAAAGGATATATTGGAAGACAAGGTCAACAAATAGACATAATTCTATATTTCTAATTTTCAGTGAGGTCTATGTTCTAGGGATAAGAGAAAAACAAGGGCCAGATAGGTGTAAGATCGGTGGATTCCAGGGTACAGCTGTCTTGATCTGTTCAGTTTGGGTGCATTATTTTTACAAAACAACAGCAAATGGCTTTGTCCTATGTTTATTTCAGTTCAGTGAAAAGCTTAAAAGTGAACAGATGAAACATTTGAACAAAATCACATAACTCCTCTATTTCACTGTTATCACAACCTGGCCACTCTGCCTTCCCCAAGCCACAAGCTTGACCAAGACAGGAACACAAGGAACAAGATGGGAAGTGGAGCCAAGCTGGGGATGGAGTGTGCTAGGGGCAAGGGAGACCAAGGTCACCAGAAATGATAACAGTACTTCTTGGTACTTTGAAACCTCTTACAAAGTCGGTTAACATTCGCCAGATGATATTCTACCTCTTATCCTAACTTCTCATTCTCTCTCTTCCACACACATTTTCTACAAGCAAGTATACTTCGATGCAGATGAATGACTAATATCAAGAGAAAGACTAGATATGAATTTAAGATTGATAAACTATTTCCGCTCCAATGCAAGTTTTTTAAAATAAAACAATTATGATTGTAAATGTCCAATAAAATTTGCAAGATCTGAAGTCTTGAGGGGAAGACACAAGGCAGAGGATGCTGAGGCTTTCCTCTTCCTGTTGAGGACCTAATGTAAATAATGGCCCACCTGTGGGAGCTGATAGTGGCTTCAGCCGAGCAAGACGTCTGCCTGCAGCCCACAGACTGGATCCTGGATTTTTTGTAACAGGCACGCACGGCAAATTAATTTTTTTTTAAAAAGTGCATTTGCAAAAGAGGAATTACAACCAGAGAAAGAAACAAATTTCAAACCTTGAGCTTTTTTAAAAAAAATAGATCCATCCAAGCTTGTGTTCTTCCACAGCTCAGCATCTGTTAAGCTGAGATATCATTGCACTCGTTGGGTGGCTGAGAGTCTCTGCCTTCCCAGTCCTCTCAAGAGAATCAGGGAATAATTGTGCTGCATGACACATACCCTGTTCTGCCTCATTGCTTCCGTCTTCCCTGTCTCAGCCTGTGCTTTTTTCTGCTAAGAGATTCAAATACTCTCGACTGCATCTCCTTTCAGAATGCTGCA